AAAATTCGTTAATAAAGTTTGTATCTTATTCGTGCCCATTTCACGGTGTCACGTGGAGATATGAATAATGTTTTAATTCATAAAAACGCGTTCATTCACTTGATTTCAAAGTAATATGTTTCTCCTGGGTTACCCGGACAGCCGCTTGACAAAGCTTTGTGAATGGTTCTAATCATTCGCCATTCGAACAAACTTTCTGAAGAGGCTATGAAGAGGACTTTACTGCGTTGAAATGAAGAATGTTCGATAAATCCTAACCGTCTATTCCAACATTTTCTAATGGCGGCCTGTTAAGCGATTTTTCAATATTGCATTTCAATATTTCGTTTACTGAAATCATCTTTTCAAGGCACATTGAATTTTAAACTATTCACCGTTCCGTTGAAACCGCCATCTTTTCTTTTCTTCCCCATTACTCACTACTATCCACAGAAAACATGTAACAGTTTAGCTCAGACGGACAGCTACAATTCGAGATATTAGCCTACTTGGCATTGATTAAATTAACACTGACTTAGATGCATACTGGACACTGTCAGTCTACTTTATTTCCGTTTATATCGTTCTAACAATTCGTTAGTTCAATTCTCACGTGTATCAAGCCAGGCTCTGATTTTTCACAACAAGTCTGTACCCCTTAAATACATTGAAAAACGTTTCCAATGAGGAAGTTTCGATTGAAACTGCTGATTTCAGTTAATTCCAATGCTCGATCTGAACACACTTATACTGACGATTACATTTTTATAAATTAGTTTTAGTTTGACTGTATTGTTAGATTGGAAACTGACCCATCCAGCGAAGTATAAAATATTTAAAACTGAAAGGGCAGAGAAAGCATTTAGTGACATTTTTGTATTAACAAGAGTTAAGGGATTAGAGTGGCGGGTTTTTGCGAGTAGTGCAGAAGTCTTTTGGAGGCAAAGAGCATCAGAATTGTATTTATCAGACGGTAGTAGTAGTCTGCTTGACGGCGGAGAAGCCTTCAGTATTCGTCTACAGAAGGATAAACAGACTCACGCATTTCTGTAAATAGATGGTCTGTATGACTGGTTGTACCGGCTGGATTTATATTTTGGATTATTGCAGCCTTCCTTATCGAATTATTCTTTTCTCATGAAAGGGAATATTCATTGACCGGGTATTTGGGGGTCGATTGGAACGTTCATTCAGTGCATTCTTTCGCCTTGGAAATCTGTATTTTCAACTGTGTTAACTGTTTATAATTACCTATCATGGGGATCGTATATAGTCAGATTTTCAGATACACAAAATCGTTCACAGTTGCACAACATGATATACGGACAGAGATTGGCAGAAATCGAACTGATTTTGATTGACGGAAGGTTTACGCCTAAAGTTGGGTCAGAAAAAGGAGCCCTAGACACGAATTTATACACTTGAAAACTCAAAATGTAAAGCAAATAATAAAGGTTCACCACCCGCGTTCAGTCCGATGTTGGCATTCTGGTAAAACCCAACCT